CTTCTGGTATGGCAGCAAATGACGGTCATGATTACGGAGTAAGTTTGCCGAATGAGAAAGTATCCTCAAAACCAAGTGCCCCATTATCTTCACAACCGGCCGCCCAGCCTGCACATCCCGGAGTTAGTGGGGAAAAAACTGAAATCAATCAGTCTGACGGATCAGCCAATATGAATCTGATAGAATTTTCAACCAACCAGCAATCGGCGATCGTGACGGAAGCAACCTCAAGGCTAGATCATGTGGAAGCTGACAACTGTCTTTTGATTCAGCTTGATCCGTTTGAAGAAGTTACAAAAAAGGCACTTTGCGAAACACCAAACCCGAATAAGATGAAAGACCTCATATCCGAAGAGCTCGTGGAGAATGAAGAGGAGAAAAATGCAGCAGAGTCGTTTGGTATAATCGGAAAAGATATAGTAGTTAATGAAACTATCTTCCAGACAATATTCACCATGGCTGTCGAAGAGAAAGAGGACCCGACAGGGGGCAAACTTGAAGAGGGAAATGGTTGTGTTGAAGCGAGGCTGCATCCGGTGGGTCAGCCCATGCCGCTAGACGAGGTGGAGGGTATAGACAAAAATCTTTTTTTGCAGGACCTACACTTAGTAGCCGAAACTATGAAAGAGGGGGAAACAAACTTAGCGGAATGCAAACAAACAAACGAAATAATGCCTTTTTACCAACACACCACCACTGAAATAAAGATGACTACAATTCAAACCCTGGAGCATTCAAAAAGTATAGATAATAGTGAGAAGATAAAATCGGCACGAAAGCTTTTAGGGTTTATGGATGCCCCATCCTCGAAGTCAACCTCCCTGGAGGAGTTGAATAAGGCTCAAAAAGTCATTCAGAACCAAACTAGCTGTCAGCCTACAACATCGGCTTCCGGTGAACTAGGCGACCACGAAGGGAAGCCTGAAGCGTACAAAGAGTTGGAAGGAAAAACGAAGGACGAGTTGAGCAGAGGCTCTGTCGAACTTGCAGCAGCGAAAAAAGAGGCCCCAAGCCCCAAAGGGATGAACATATTCGGTAGGCTAAAGCAAAGTATTTTTGCCAAGCAGCCAAAAGTAGGTAGCTCTGAATTGGATGGCCAAACTTCTGGGCAGCAGAGTCCATTAATTTCGTCTGTTTCTGTAGAGAAAATAGTAGAAAGTGACCCCAGTAAGAAGCCTGGTCTAGAACCGACCAAAGCAGCCGGTTTGCAAAGTGATCCATTCGCATCAGATCAAGAAGAAGTCAAGCTGATGCCGGCCAAGGGTACAGTGAGCACCATGCCTCTTCTGCCAAGTGGGAGGGAGGGCGCGACGACCACGCCGAGTTGCGAGGTTGCAGCGTCAATCATA